CCATATACTGTCCGCCGTGGCAGTTTCCATGCAAGTTGATCCAAGCGTATTTTCCGAGGTCGAGGCAATAGCCTTATCAGATATCCAAAATGGAGAAATAGTTTCCTACACCCAGCTAGGAGAAGTTCTTGCCAGCCAGGACATCTTCAAGGTACATTTTATTCCCCGGCCCCTGGACCCAAACATCAAAATAGGGCGCAGCAGGCTAACAATTTGAAGGTCACACCTTATGCGCAGCAACTTCGCTCGATACTTGATATCTGGCACTCAACATTCCTCGCTCAGGAAACATACACACTCGTCTCCCAATATCTTGGGTCCATGGCGTATACACCTATAACATCCGACGCCCCCTTTCCAAACCAGGAATTTCCTAACCTACATGCCATCAACCAACACATTCCAGAGCTCGATATACCCGAGCCAGATATTCCCGAAACAGATATGACAATGGACATAGACGATTCTCCAACCCCCAGCCCACCCCTATTGCCCGTATCCACACCAGCCTTGACGTGAGTAGTACCCACCTCCCCCTCCCCTATTTCCCTCGATCAAATTACAAAAAAAAACCCGCTAAAAAATACTTTACCAGCTCCAACCCCACCCCTTCCTCAACCCACTCCCTCCAGACCCCTCCTCCCCAATCTTCAAACCCCGCACGAGCCTACTGCGCAGACTGCCACCGAGACTTCGGCAAAGTGTACAGATACAACCGGCACCGCAGGGATATACATGATCGGCTTCGGTTTACGTGTCGGGTGGGTTGTGGGAAGAATTACTCGCGGAATGATACGCGGGCGACACATGAGCGGACTTGTAGAGTTCGGGTGTCATAAGGAAGGGTTGGTTGGTTGGTTGGTTGGTTGGGTTATTCAATTGCTAGGCTTAACGAACAGGGGTTTAAATGGAGTTTTTGCAAGGGGGTGTATAAAAACTTGACCGGATCTTTTTTTTTGTTTTGCTTGGAAGGCGTTGCGAATCTTACGAGCAAAAATGTTGACGGGGTGACATGGGAATTATGGAGGAGTTGAGTGCATTTAGTTGGTTATCTTCAAAGTCCTGCTTATTACTTCAAGTTCTTAACGCAAGGAGAGAGAGTCCTTTTCCTTTCTTCACTTTCCCCCTTGTCTATCCTGTCTTCTTGCTGGCACAGTCACAATTTCTTCCCAAACAAAAGAATGTCCATCTAATATACTGGTGCCACTATTCGTCAGCATCACACTCCTCCCTTCAGAGATACGGCTATAACTTTGCATGACAAACCTCAAGGTCTAAAAAACCCGGGCCGGAATATCCATAGACCTCCCGTCTCTCAACCACCACTTCTCCAACATTTGCCATTTAGACTCCCGATTATCAAAATTCCCGCAACTCCATCCCTTCTGAACTGAACCCCCCTGAGCAACTTCGTCCTGAGCTGGTTTGCCTTGGATTAATGGCCCTTGAACCAATCCCCCCCGACCCGAGGTCCCAGACGCATACCCATAGCTTCCCTCACGCCACAACCACTTCTCAAACTCCTCCTTCTTTAGTGTCACTGGCGCCTCCCATTGATCAGTGGCCCACATCCCTAAACTATTGAAAGCATAATGCGACGCCGGGTTCAACGCCCACTGTTTCGTGAGCCGTGATCCCGAACTGTACGGGCCTTCACAAATGGCTCGAGCGTTATAGCACATTTCCGCAAAGATGCTTGCGCGAGCCTGGTCCCCATGGGCGATACTCACCCTGAGTGCGTCATTAGCCGCCCTCGCAATCCAGAAACTAGCGCTATCGCCATATTCGTACTCGGCAAGAAAAAGTAAACGTTTGCAGTTCCTTAAATACCAAAGTGGCTCGTTCCAGATGCTGTCCCAATTGATGGCGTTGTTCAATTGTTTTATTTCCAGACGGCGAGCATCACTGAGTTGTCGGGTGGGGAGCGGAAGCGTACAAATCTTGCAGTCACACTCAAAGCCAAATGAAGCTTTCAAAATGGATTGTCTTGTGTCGAAGGTTTCGTCTGCGCTGTACGAAATAGTAATTTCTTCTCCAACCTCGATGTCGCGAACCGCATAGATGGATGTACTCTGTGTTTCTTCTTCCCAGCTAGCATAGCTGTTCGGGATACAACAGTGGTTGATTCGGGAAATCGTAGCGTAAATTCCACCACAGGGCATCATGTTCGTTTTCAAGATTCCGCTAAGTGGATGCCCCCCAGGAAAATTGTTATGTAGCGAAATGAATAGTTGTTTCCCCGACGTCGAAAGTGCGCGCCATCGCATTTCGACAAGCTGTTCATGCTGGGTGGGCGTTGACGGGATTGGGATCTTGAAGAGTGGCTGTTCTCTGAGGATACACGCCCCCTTAGCAATGGAGTGACGGGCCACCAAACCATACCCCCTCCCTGGGACAACAGCAATCCCAAAACTTAGTGGGTGTTTCGCAACTGAAGGCGGCTTAGGGCAAACCATGCCTTTGGGGTCCTCTTGCTTGTCGAACTACTCCACAGTTAGAATCCGGCAAAGATAATAATGCGAAGCTGTACCTGAAGCGTACCCGTTCGTAGGATTCGACTGCTGCCAGAACCTCCTGGGAATCATAAAATACTGCCTCTCCCTGCCTTCTAAACTCTAGAGGTTTGACACGAAGGCCAAAAATCATCGTTGCCATGTTAGTGACAAACCCAAGGTATGGATAAAGTCGTCCTATATCTTTTGGTGCACAGGCACAGTCAAATCGTAAGAGTTTATGGCCTTCAAAAGGGAGCCGTGGACCGTAGCCAGGGCAGAATTGGATAGATTTCATCGTGGCCACAACTTTATCGTCGCCTTCATAATAATATTTTATGTTCTGCATGAACATGTCCCATTTGTCCCTATCAATGCCGTCTTTCGATAATCGGGGAATCATTTCAAACCCCATCCAGAGCTGCCCCGAAGCCATGGTTGTTGAGGGTGAAGGTAAGGTATATAATGGAACAGATAAAAACTATACTATGTTAGGTATCCGACAAGACGCTCGTGTTGTGATAGCAATAGTGATACTACATGTAACAGGGAGAGCAGAAGGGGGAAAACTGGCAGTAACCCTGGAGCTATAACGAATCTCAGGCAGGAAGATGGCTTTATGCCTGTCTCTTCTCCATGTCTGCTTCCAAAGGCAGACGGACCAGAAACGCAGTTTCTTCAGTGTTCTGCTGTGCCTTTGGGCATACAGCAAAAGTCACGGTATGATGAGTGAATACAAACATTATAACATTTCAATGGTGCACTTTATCTGAGGTGATGGTGATAAAGCTGTATCAAAAAGTGCTGTTTTCACGTTGCCATCTCTTGATCTGCAACATGGCTTGTCTGTTTACATACAACAAGCATGCCATTCAACCCTGAAGGTTATCCGGCCAAAGCGTTCTGTTGGCCAGGTCGCAGACTGCCGCAGACATCATTACCACACGCAATCAGCAAACCATCAGTCGGATTGCAGAAAATGGACGAGGTCGATCTATCCCTGACGCGCCAAACCAGAATGCTAAGCACCAGTTCAAACCTAACAAAACAGTTCGAACTCTCAACTGTGCGTCCTTTGGAAGAACACCTGGATGGCTTAGAGCAAGAGACGAGGAAAAATCTGTGAGTTTTCTACATCCATTAGCTAGCAATAGTTTGCTAATAAGGCAGTATAGGCAATACCTACTATTCCAACTCCAATTATATTTCCCAATTTGGCCTCGTCCACACATTAGCAACAGACGTGGAAGGACATCCAGAAGTTAGGGGAAGTTCTTTGCTTTGTCAGGAGTTTGACGGGGGTTTCTGAGATACGCCCATATCTCTTTAAGGCTGGACTTGTTGTTTCCCATGTTTTACGGAGAACAGAATGGGGAATGAACGGTCAAGATACCATGAGTGTCGCAACGCTGCACCCTGGCCTCCGAGCATGGCTTTATCGAAAAGGGTTTAAGAAGGAAGAAGACGTGAGAAAGCTGGAAGAGGCCGGGGGTATTTACCATGACACAGTCGATACTGATGCTCCTATGTTGTCTTAACGCACAGAAGAAGAAAGACGGGGCAATTGCCCGGCCCGTTTTGAGACATCCACGGAGGCGGCCAAGGGCAAAAGGGCATTTCGACCCAGAACAATTTTCCACCGTGAAGGCGCTATTGCAGGCTTTGAACACCGATTACCTGAGGGGTAAAAAGAGGAAAAGAGCAGGCGAAACCGGTAACAGAGCTGGTAGACAGGTCCAGGTCAACATCAGCAATACAGTAATAGCTGAAAAGGACTCAGTTGAAGATCTCGGAGCCAGTGGAACACGGTATCACCCGATGGCAGTTGAACGAACAATTGATTGTTCGAGGTGTCAGACAACGTTTGTGACTTGGCTGAAAAGTGTCTTCAAGAGGAAGAGCAGCTACCAAGTATCGAGAAAATGTCGCGTGAATTTACTGGTTCAGTTATGCAGGAGGAGACTCGACAAGACTTTTTCGACTGTCGAGTATCCAAGAATTACTAGTAGGTATGGAACAGTTGATTTGAGATGGTGAGAAATATCAATGAAAGCGTGATAAATTTCCTACTATCAAGTGGCAAGATGGCGGAGTGGTTAACGCGACAGCCTGCTAAGCTGTTCTCTTCGGAGGCCAGGGTTCGAATCCCTGTCTTGTCGTTTTCATTTTTTTTTCTCGATTGAAATAATTAATCATTAATGGTTGAAGCTATCCTCAACCGTCGTTGCACCTTTCAGCGTCCTTATTTCACCACCCAGATTTGACCAATTGGTGGCCTGGTGTGGAAGTATCCAAGCCTTTTTCTTCAGAGATAGCCTAAATACCGAGGGATCTGGTAGCGATGTTTTTTTTGTGTCTAGGTTTCACCGCCCGTAATTGACCAATTAGTGATGCGGTGTGGAAGTATTCAAGGCTTTTTATTGGGGGCAGAAAAGAATATCCATAGCTTCTTGAGGAGGTTAGCTGTTAACCGATGCATAATAAAATAAACCGGATTTGTCATCAAATGGCAAGATGGCGGAGTGGTTAACGCGACAGCCTGCTAAGCTGTTCTCTTCGGAGGCCAGGGTTCGAATCCCTGTCTTGTCGTTCTCATTTTCTTTTTTTTTTCAATCAAAATAATTCTACTCCGTACCATGAAAACCTTTAAAGCGCAGCCAAAAAAAAGCTGACTCGATCGCTGCTGACCGTGGCCCGAATGCTAGCATCTGACTGATATCAGAAGCTTGGTCTGAATCAAGAAGCGACCTATAAATAAACATATTATAGAGTAGTAAGTAATAATGTAAAATCGGTGCTTATATGCACGTAAGCCTCAGGAATGTTGATAAGGGTATCTCTAGTTCTTAAGGGGGGAGACTGGAAGAGAGTCTCATAATTGGAAGGATGATTGGTGTGGCTCCCATTTTCCTGACAGATGTTGATTGAACCACTCACAGAGCGGTGGTGATCTTGAATCTTCGTCACAATTTGCTGCTCTCTGCATGTCATACGGGATAGATCTGAGGGATCTGACAGGATCGGCACCAGTTGTTGTTTGGTTGTGTGGCAGCCGTCAACCGCTATCGTAGAATGGATCATCGGGTGTGCTGGAAGCCCTATGTAGGTATTATGGCTGAAATCTTCGAGCGATTCGGCGCATCAGGCAATTTTATATGTGGTGAAACCAGCAGATTCCCCAAGCCGTGGTCTGAAAGCAAAATCATGCACCAGGAAACAAACCCCCCTGAATGACGCAAAAAGTAATCTGTTTTCAACCACCCGAGTTAGCCACCCTGGCCCGAACACTAACTTATAATAACATTGAAATCTTCATGTGGGTTTTGGAAGTGTTACCAGAAAGCCACACTAATAATAAAACGATTCTCTGGCCAGCGCAACGGGCGATCTAGAATCATCAAAGACCAGGCCAATCACCGCCAATTAAACTGGGATGGCGCTCCAAGACCACGCCGCCCAAATGACACTGCAGACACATTGTGCACCGCGTAACGCCGGTGCAGCACACACCAACACGGTTGACGAGGCTTGGGGAGGACAACTTACTCAGGAGAGACGAAGTTTATCAGGGGGCAGCAGGTTGTATTGCAGTACGGTAATTTTGGTATCGAAGCCAAAGTGCCCGCCAACCGCGCCTTACGTAATGTGGGCGGCCCGTAATACCAGAACCGTAATTCTACCAGACAGCGGCCAACCTTCCGCCAACCTCATCTCTCCGCAACCTGCTCTCTCCGCTCTCTCTCGCCGTCTCCTCAACACTCGCTACCCCCCCGGAGCTGCTCTGTACTGCGCATCCCGATGCTTCCGGTGCCTCCGGCCCCCTGATTATCGTTTCTGGACTGTACAGATGACCTGCGACTCCGAGACCGTGGCCTCTGATCCCTACCACTGTTTCGCCGACTCTATCCTTGTTTCTGCCTCCACAGCCATTCTCCATCAGTGACTCCTTATTAAACCCCAAAACCTCAAACTGGAGTCAATACCACAGTCCATACTTCCAGCCTGATAAAGGCTGCCTCGTTTCAACATTCGATACCCTCCATCTCTCCGCTGCCCCCCTGTTCCGCTGGTCGAAACAGCCTGCTCGTGAGAGAACCAGCGCTTGGTTAGGGCGTGTGAAGTCATGAATTGGGTTACGGGGAAGTACCTCCGGTACATCCTGTTCGCAGTCCTGGTAGGTACTATCCGTCAAGAAATCCCCGTTGATATGGGGGTTCAGCGCTGACGTGTTTTATTTGTTTCGAACAGGGACTCGCCATTTTACATTTCATATCATCCTCTTCGTTGCCTCTTCCAAGCACCAGTGATGTCGTAACGAACCTGAACCCCGGAGCGGCTCAAAAGCCAGACACCAGACCTGCCCCTCAAGCCGGGCCAACTGAAAAAGGACAAGAAGCCGGAAAGGCTGCCCCAACACATGCAGCTGCTCCTGCTGCGAACCCTCCACCCCCCGCTGATGGACGAGCAAACGCTACATTTGTAACGCTTGCGAGAAATGGAGATCTTTGGGAGATTGCCAAATCGATTCGGCAAGTGGAGGATCGTTTCAACAGAAACCATAATTATCCCTGGGTATTTCTCAACGACAAGCCATTCAACGACGAGTTCAAAAAGATAACTTCTGCGCTTGTATCTGGAGAAACTCACTACGGCATCATTCCGTCCGAGCATTGGTCGTTCCCCGACTTTATCGACCAAGAAAAGGCAGCAAAGGTGCGAGAGGAGATGAAGGAGAAACAAGTCATCTACGGAGACTCTATCAGCTACAGACACATGTGCCGCTATGAATCCGGATTTTTCTTCCGCCATGAAATCATGCAACAGTTTGAGTTTTACTGGCGTGTGGAACCCAGCATCGAATATTTCTGCGATATTGCGTTCGACCCTTTCAAGTTTATGAGGGACAACAAGAAGAAATATAGCTTCGTGCTCAGTCTATACGAATATAAAGAGACCGTTAACTCGATATGGGACAGCGTCAAGAAATTTATGGAGAAGTATCCTCAACATATCGCGGAGAACAACAACCTGGAATTTGTTAGCGAAGATGGTGGGAAATCATACAACCTTTGCCATTTCGTATGTATTCAATCCCGATATGCTTTTTGGTTGTCTTAACTAATTATCTACCCCCAGTGGTCCAATTTTGAAATTGGAAATCTGAATTGGCTACGATCTCAGCAGTACATTGATTATTTCAACGTGCTCGATAGGGATGGAGGATTCTTCTACGAGAGATGGGGCGATGCACCGGTGCACTCCATCGCCGCTGCTCTCTTACTAGAAAAAGAGGAAATCCATTTCTTCAACGAAATTGCTTATCGCCACGTGCCCTTCGTGCACTGCCCGACTGGGGAGCAAACGAGGCTTGACTTGAAATGTCACTGCAATCCCGGCGACAACTTTGACTGGAAGGGATACTCTTGTAAGTTGCAGTTGTGAGATAAATTAATTCGCTTTTTATTTTCTAACATCCCGACCCTCTACAGGCACATCCCGATACTTCGATATTAACAAATTGAAGAAGCCTGAGGGCTATGAGGGAGAGCAGGATTGACTAGCCGTCATTCTTATATTCATTGGAGGCATATTGGCGATCACGACTGTCTCGATAGTAGGCTTCAAGGCACGTTTTGGTCGTCGACGCCTCAGCACATCCAGCATCAGCAGCGAACATTTCGGCACATCAAAACTCGGTTAGACAAATTGTCGATGTTTCTTTTCCTTCCACTTCTGTGGACCGATAATTTCTCCTAACCTCTCACCTCCACCTCCGCCTCCCTTGTCTTCCTTCCTCATTCACCCCTCCCCCGCCCATTTTTCCCTGGCAATCCTTTTTGTACCACATTTTAAATTTTTTGACGGCTTCCGCATCATATCTGGTTGTTAAACTTGGGAGTATGTACCGGAGGAAGGAAATCTTGCAATGTCTTTTCCAAAATTATATGGAGTCTGTTTGACCGGATAAGCTTTTAGTCACCCCCTTTTCTTTTTCTTTTCTTCTCTTCTTTTCCCTTTTCCCTTGATCATTATTCCCTATATTTACATCATGTATTAAAACCAAGTTTTCTTTTTCCTATATTGCTGCATTGTTTTGGGGGAGGTAGTATGCGGCTACGCTTGCAGGGGGTCAAGGAGAGCGCGAGTTGGTTCATTGCCAGAGGTGGCTGGCTGGCTAGTTTCCTGTTTATGTTTATATATATGTCCGTTGATTTTATTCTTCGCTTTTCGTTTCCTTTCTATATCGTCAGTATGGATAGAAAGGCCACGTCTCCATTCAGGAAGGGATACAATGGCTATTAATATGACCCCTTTCTTTGCCTCAATTACTTCCGGATAAATAAAATGGCAATGTGGGACTCGGAAAACCAAATATGTTTTGAAATTTGAAATGGCAACATAATATACATTTAACAACTCTTAAGCCAGTCTATCGAAACAAAAGATATAGTACCATCAAACAAGCATAGCCGGCCCACTCCCGGCCCAGCCATACATCCATCCAACCTCCCACTCCAAAACCCAACTAACCACTCTTCGGCTTCTTCGTCCCATACTTCGACCGGCTCGTTATCCGATTACCAACACCAGACTATCACACACAATAATTAGCAACCCATCCAAACACCCCCTCCCCCCCAAAAAAAACCAAAAAAAAAGAAGAGTCAAAAACTCACCAAATCCAACGCCCCCCTAACACAATGATACCTCACACCAGGACAATCCTGCGCTCTCCCCCCGCGAATCAACACAACACTATGCTGCTGAATATTATGCCCTTCACCGGGGATATACGAAGTCACCACGGAGCCATTACTCAGCCGGATCCTGGCCGTCTTGCGCTCGCCTGAGTTTGGTTTCTTGGGCTTCGTGACGCCGGTCTTTAGGCAGACGCCTTTCATCTCCGGGCGGCCGATGAGCGCGGGCGAGCGCACTTTGCGGGCTTTTTTGCCGTGGCGGCAGCCGCGGCGGACTTGGTTGAGGGTTGAGAAGGGGGTCGGGGTGGTGGTGAAGTGGCGGAGGGAGGAGAGGGTTGTGGTGGGGGAGGGGGTGGTTGGGAGGATGCTGCGGTGGAGGAGGAGGGGGTTGCGGAGGGCGGAGAAGGCGCGTTTCGTTGGAGAGGAGCGGAGGGAGGGAGATGTGGTGGTGGTTGGCGATGGGCGGAGGAATTGGCTGAGGAGCCGCATTGTCAGCGGCGAGGGTGTGAGGGACGGCATGGTGGGCGGTTTGTGGGCTGGTGGTGGTGGTGAGGCTGATTGCGCCCGCAATGCGATGGAGCGTCGAGATGCAAGTTTGATAATGAGTTCCCAGTTGGGAAATTTGGAGGCTAAGATTGAGTTCGGCCCACGTGACCAAGCTGCGGTGTTGGCGCCTGCGGACCGCCGGACAAGCTTGACGCGGTTGCCGTTTGCCTGGAGACATCATCGCCGGCTTCAACATCCCGTTCCAAACCACCCGCTCTCTCAATACATACCACAGATACTCCTCCTCCCCGCACCTCTACCGCCCATACAACCTCCTGTCTACCCCGTCCATCCCCCCATATCCCATCCATCATGGTAAGCCAGCTCATTAATCCCCATCTCTCA